AAAATCTTTTTCAGATAAAACTACTCCCAGGAGTGATAAAACAGGAAGGGTAAAAGTGATACTTCTCGATTGTCTGGTAGAAAAACTTATTGCTTCGCATTTGATAGGATTCAAAGGGATTTTCCACCTCTTAGCCCATTCTACAACACGGATAAGATCTCGAGCTAGCCTTTGAGAGGCAAGAACGAGATCACTATCGTGCGAAAAAGAAGAGTGTCATCAGCGAATAATCGAATTGCACTTTCAATTCCTATCAGCAAATCATCAATGTAGATGAGAAATAATAAGTGTCCAAGGATCGAGCCTTGAGGCACACCCTTGGAAATGCCTCGGGGAGCTGAAGTTACACCGTCAATCATAGTCTGAATAGTTCGATCACGTAAATAGTCGACTATCCAGGCCAGTGCTTTTCCTTTAACACCCTTCTTCTTCAGTTTAAATACTAATCCTTCATGGGAAACTTGATCAAGAGCTTTCTGAAAATCTAGGAGAACTGCTCTTACTACCTTATCATTTTCCATCCCCGCTCTTATGTTTTCTATCACGTCTAAAGGAGATTTGCCGTACTATCGCCGGCTATAAGGCCTGACTGGAAGGGAGATAGTAACTTATTCTTAGTAAACTATTTATACAATTTATACTGTTACTTTCGAAAGAGCTGGAAGCAAAATGATTGGTCTATAATTTGTGGAATCGGTCCTATCCCCAGACTTGAAAAGAGGGTACACTTTACCAATTTTCCAGCTCCACCGATAAATACAAGTATTAAAAGATTCTTCTATAAGACTGGAAAAGGGAATAAAAATAGTTGACTCTATAAATTTTAACATTCGATTAGATAAAAGAGAAGAAGTCGATTTATTCACATTTAAGTGGGATAACAGGCGACTAACATCTATAAGAGAAACTGTAAAAGTAGAAAGAGACGTCGAAGCAGTGGGTAAATTGTCTGTCAAGGATTCATCTAGAACGGGGCCTTTCCATGTACAAACAGAAGCGAGATGCTCGTTTAAAATTTCAGCCTTTGTTGAAGAATCAGTGGTAAGGGTGTAGACACAATTTTTTAAAACTGGTATCGAAGAGCTTCGAACTTTACCCATTGTCTCCTTAACCAAGGACCACCAACTCTTTGATGAATTCTGAATTTTGGAATTAACTTTATTAAAAAAAGCTTTTTTTGCCGCGGAACAGCCATCACGGAAAGCCAAGTTAGCTAATCGATTCTTCTCTTTGTTAATAGGAGTGGGATATTTTTTTAAAATACGAAATGAATGAAGTTTCTCCTTATACAAATGCCGTAATTCCTCCGTGAATCCCTTCTTATCATGTGGCCTAATAATAATAACCTTGTTCGGAATAAACTTACAAATTTGGTCATAAATAATTTGTTCAAACATTTCAACTCTTTCATGTAAACTACTATATGTTTTAAAAATAGAAGGGATATGTTATTATTTATCAAATCCCAATTGGCCACTCAGAAATTAAAAATCAGTTTGATCAAGTTTTGTGAGAATTTGACGGAGCATCTTTTGGATGAACGACCAGATCTAAGGATTGAAAAGAAAAAAAATTATATGCAAAATACGGGGAGGGCCATTTATTCTGGGCCACCCGATATTACCAGAATTAAATATTTGAAGCTGCGGTATAATTACAATCAAAAGACAAAACTTACGGGACCACATTTTTCCGCAACTTGTCCCGCCCCCGTAAGCCCGACCCCGTAAGCCTAACCTTTCGTACATTCGGCCAAGTGATGACGATGGAAAATTAGTCATAGAGCGAAAACCATTGAAATTGTCACCATTAGATGATAGTCGTAATCTTCGTGTACTTCTGCAACTTATATTTGCATATGAATCATTACTGGATGAATACGCATTGAAACAATCACTCTCAGCTACATTATCAGATCAATATTTTTGGCCTCTTACTGGTCGCTTAATGGAAAATAAAGAAAATGAATTGGTGATTGATTGGGATAGCAATGATGAGAATGTTGGTAAAGTGCCTTTTATTGCTGCTGTATTCCGGGGCTCTGAGACTGTACGACAATTATTTAGTAGTAGACAACCCGAGGAATTTCAAAACTGGAACTTTTTCTGGAATGATCATCCGTTAAAGACAACAAACTATACTGGAATTCATGGACCATTACTCGCCGTACAATTCACAAAATTTGAAAATGGAAGTGGATGTGTACTCGGAGTACAGCTTCATCATTGTCTTGCCGATGCTCGATCATTCTACAATTTTATGAATTGTTGGTCAACATTAAATAAAAATGAGACGCCGTTAATAAAACCTCTCAATAGCCGGATCATACAGTTTACTTCTTCGCCATCCACAGACATATCTTTAACTAACCATAGTGAATATCTCTTATTGCCCACAAAGCCAGGAGTTTCGCCGATAGCAAGAACAACATTAGCAGAAACAACTATTAGAATGTTTCATTTTTCTAAAGAATATTTAACTAGATTAAAATCAATGGTACAAGCAAAAGTGCCAAATGAGAAACTGTCTACAAATTCAGTTCTAACAGCTCACATATGGCAAAAAGTCACCAATGTAAGGCAAGTGAACGAAAACGAAATTACCTTATTAGGTTTTACGATGGATATACGACAGCGAGTTAAACCAGCAATGGATCAAAGTTATTTTGGAAATGCTGTGATTTATGCAATGGCATCAGTACATCAGTCTAATGATTTAAGTTTAGAACAATTAGCAAATACTGTGCAGCAAGTAACCTCATCAACTGAACAATCAACAAGAGTAAGCTCCACTCTTGAGTTTTTGAATTACCACCATCACCAAGGAAATCTTTCGCGAATATTTATCGGATGGAAACCATTCTATGGAAATGATTTGTTTCTGAGCAGTTGGACACAATTGTCTATGTATAATGCAGGTGAATTTGAACATGGTAGAAGACCAATATTTGTGGGGTTTCCTTTTTCTCCATTCACAGACGGTATTGGTATTCTATGTCGGAGTTCTTTGGAAGATGGTAGTATAGATTTATTTTTAGGGTTACGTAAAGATCATATGAAAAATTTGAATTTGTATGAAATTTAAAACATAAATAAAATTAGTGCAATTGCGACAGAAACACTCTTAACTTGATTTAACATAATTAAGAGTTTATTAAGAATAAATAGAATAATTATTAAAATACGAACTTTCGACCTATTCATACGAAAGAAAGCGTATCGAGTGGCAAAATTACAAAGCGTAGCGAAAAATATCTACAAAGAATAGTCGTATCTCAATGATACGACAAAAAGGCTCATGGCCGTATCAGAAATAGGCCAACGACATCCAGTTACCCGCTCTTAAACGAGAGAGAGGCAGAGAGAGAATAGATTTAATTGTCAAATTACCTTTTAACTGAAAAATACTTTTTCTAGAATATTTTTTGACTTTATCAAGAATCTGATATTCATTTTAGCGATTCTCGACCACGTTGTCAATGGTCTTGTTTTCTTATTTTTGCAGAAGTAGCTGAATGTATTCTTTTACTTAGATCAAAGGTTCTAATTCGTCACAGATTATCTGTGAAGCCGTAATCTGCAAAGTGATGGAGTCTGCCTTATGTACACTAAGTACCATATGTTGAAAACACATATTTGATCGGTTATCAAACAGAACGTTTGGAAACCTTCTATCAACAAAATAAACTTTAGTAAATTAACCATTTTTCTGATAGTTTCGACGCTGAAACTTTTCTAGTGTATGAAAAAATCATACTCTACCCTCTTTGACTACTGCACCTATTTAATCTAGTAGATTGTCCTTTGTATTTCATCTAGAAGTTTTTACTCAAAATAAAAGTTATTTTCAGAATCATCGAGTTAAATCATTGAGTCTTGAAATAATAAAGTTCACAACGACATTCAATGAACACGTATCTTTCCACCTTCAACTTTTGTACGAAAATATATCTTGGCAACAAATCGCCAAAAATCACACCAACGCCTCACAACTTCTTATAAGCTTTATTTACTGAAAGGTAGAAATTAAAACACAACAGTTCAGTAAAGAAACAGGCATACGTCCATAATATCGTTTTAATCTATTAATACACTCACGAGCTCTTTTAAAAGCTCATGGGTATGTTCGAAAATTCTTATTCAATGAAACCATTAAAATGATTGCGTTGCTTCGTTTTTCGTCTTCACATAATCGTTCTCTTTCTCGTCCCCTGCTTTAGCTAAATAGTTTATTCACGTGTAAGTTATGCAAAAAGATAAGAATTCTACAGAAATGAATAAAAAAAGCCACATAACATCCAACGTTTTTTTCTTTTTATAGTACTTTCAAAAAACCATTTACCTTCTTTTTACTTGCATACAAATTATGAATAGTTCTGTCGTATTATTCCCAAATATGCGCCCACAAAAGTAAGTCATGACTTCTGAAAATATCTGTTAAAGTGATTCATCAATACAGCGAGCGCAAGAAATTATCCAATAATATTTGGAAGAAGAAATTTGACATATGACATGTGCAACCGAAGTAAGGTGCACCAAATGCTAAGTTTAAGCACTTTTTTACTTTTGGCTATCATGGGCTGAGATCATGGGCTTCTATTTGGCTTTCAAGTGATATAATCGGCAGTGGTCTTCTATTATGAGAGGTAGGGAGTTATTATACATCGTTCGGTAGAACTCGACGAGCTAATCGAGAGTGTCTAGGTTTTAGTTTAATAAGAATGGATTTTCAAACTACTGTAGGGGTGTAGATTGTCATAAAACTGTTAGATTCTGAAAAACGTCGAATATTTTTTTCCTGTTTCATTTTCAAAAACCACAAATACAGGCTTCATATTTGTCCTATATTTCCTGTTTTTGTATGAGAAAATTCCGTTTTATCCTGTTTTTCGAAATTTCCCTGTATTTTGACTGTTTGATTGATTACTGTTTATTGTCGTAGAATCTGTTACAAAGTCTGTGCCTCTTTTGTGAAACCAATCAGCCAGTTAGCGAAATATTTGTATTTTACTCAGTCAATCAAGAGAAGAGATGACTAACAGAAATGACGCTTACACTAAAGATCAAGATGTTCCCATGAAGACTGACTGTATAAAATCTGCACACTCCAGTCGAAATACTAAACGAAAGAAGTAAAAAAACTGAAGAAAGAAGAATGAGAAAGAAGAAATGAAGGATAAAGAAAAAGTAAAATGAAGTATAGTGTTGGTGTATGTATAGAAAAGAGGAAGATGAAAGAAAATAACGATAAATACAGGACTCATAAATAAAAGAGATATAAAGCTGATATCTGCGATTATATATCACTATCTCTAAATGCCGTATAATATTTGCCGGATAATATATCTGTTACAAAAAAAAAAGTCTGCGAAAGGTCCACCGGCCAGCTTGCAATATGGCAGATAAAATCTGAATGAGTTTTTTCTCGAGAGTTTTTGATGCCTTTGTTTCCCCAAAGGATTTCTGGAAAACATTTTTCCTCAGATTTTTATAAAAGTACATGGACTAGATGCAGTTTAAGCTACGAATATCTACGTTAAAGTTGAGAAAAATTTGATATTCGTAGAGAAAATCAATTTTTAGCTTCAACTTACTTTCAAAAATGACGCATTCTCGTCAAAAATATCCGCTTTTAAAATTCAAGGGTCTTCAGTTTCGTGCAGAGTTTCATACTCTACATTTTCTCTCATATGTACCATCTCAGAAAAATGCTCGCTGGCCAAGATAAACGCGAGTTTCTGTTTAACAAAGAAAGTTGCAGCTTTTCTTGAATGAATTGCTCAAAACCCTGAAGTGTAGTTAAAAATACCAAACGTCAGTATTTCGGAGGGCATTTGTATTTGTCCCTATATGAACATATTTCAGTTTTGCAGAGCGCAAAAACTCCTTCAAATACGGTCAGGCGTATTTTGAAATACTATAGGAGGTTTTTGAACTTAAGTACAAAACCCACTATATATGTATAACAAACTCTTATCCATTTTTGCATTCACTGCTAAAGCAGTGTTTTAGAAAACTCAAGATATTTTTGCACTCTAAATGCAAAACGGAAATGCGCTTGGTATAGTTCTAAATGTAAAAATCCTTTGTCGTTTTGTAATATACATTTTTCTTTTAGAGTGTACGAGCACTGCGTATTTGTTCCCATTTCTCTGAGTGTCAAAAGAGATCAAAACTGGATTAGTCATTAACAACCTCAAAGCCAAATCAACCTAGAAGGACATCTCCTCGTGTGTGCCTTCCCATGTCGCCAAAACCTAAAGCTTTTCTTGGGTTATTCAAGTAAATAATGCAAAAACATCAGTGGCATAACGCAAAAAATGGTTACAAATCCGAAATTCTGCAAAATTCTACGTATTCTTCTACAATAAAATATTTACAAAATTCTGTATTAATTCAACTAATACAGAATTTTGCGAATATCTTGTTTTAATACAGAATCTTGCAAATATTTCGTTCTGGAAGAATATGCCAAATTTTGCAGAATGTCGCATTTGTAACCATTTTTTGCGTTACGTCACTTATGTTTTTGCACTTCTTTTTGCGTAACTACGCAAAAACGTTTTTGCAATTTCTACATGTGTTGTATTTCATGTTTCGTTCAAAATTCTATCAAATGTGGACCGAGGTCGTTGGGGATAAGCTTCTCACAAATGTTCATTCCATTTTTGCCCATAATCTTATTGGAAACTTAACTCACATACTTGTTCGCAAAAACGCATTGGCCTGATCCTCCAGCCATCCCTAAACAGAATTTAAGTTTAGAGCCTACGCAATCTCTTTGATCTTCATCAAAAGTATTTGGAGTACGGCTGGATTTTCTTTAACGAAAAAAACTGTCCTGGTCATCTGTTTGAATATATTTCACACAGCAATGAAGTAACAATGAAGAATCCGAAGATACAATTAAAATTCAAGCTTTGCAATTCAGATGCAATCTTCTGTTTCTGATCAAATTGCGTGAATAAGTTACATTCGTTATACTTCTTTGAGTTATTGAATTCAAACATAAATCATCAGAGAAATAAAAGTACAAATCCAATGGTATGAGAGAATAGCATATCTGTTTCGCTTTTATTCAGTACAGTGTTTGTTTACTTAAAATCTGCAAAAACACAATTGACAATTGTCGTTTTTTTGAAAGAAACTTTGAGCATAATATATAGGTGAAAAGAGAACAGAAATATGTCCTGTCCTTTTCTTTATGAAGAAAAAGCGTGGAAAAAGCAATAAAAAATCAAGGTTATTCATATTCACTCAGGCATAAGTTTTACCATCAGAAGAAAATAGTTCGAGTTTTTTTTGTTTTGTTTGTTTAAGTTATGTTTATTGAGCTAGGGGGGAAAGTACAGAACACAAAAGAAAGAGGCAAGAATCCATGATACCATTTCTGACTGTTTTGATGATGTCACATATATGTACAGCTACTATCAAACATAAAAGAGAGGTAGCAGAGAAAAAATAAAATAAAAACAAAAAGAACAGGAGAAAAACATGTAATGTATGAATAGAAATGGTAGGACGTATGAGAGTTATAAGTAGTACAGCTAGAATTAGAAACATTGTGGGTTTTTTATTTATTCAATAAGTCTATACAATACGGAAAGTTTTGCATTGCCTATATTTTCAAATTCATCTAGAAAAACACGATTGTTTGATGTGAAAGGTAACTTAGGTGCGATATTACACTAGGCGTTCTTTACTTAGAACGAAGATGACTATAATGTGAATATTCTAAGAGGAAATGCATAAGTGTTTCCCATTCACCACATGTACAAAAACTGAGTATTAACTAATTTTTTGCTGAATAGATCACAGTTTAACCTAAAAGAATTAACTCGCATTTGATGGAAATATACTTCATATTTGCGCTGAACATTTGTAAATGTAGATAATGTGTATACGGGTAAAATAGTCAAGTAGCTTTGCGCAAAAACAAGCCACTTTAGCAATTTGACGTAAATTAATAAGTAACTCATTTTATTGTTTTATCACCCACGGAAAAGGGTATTTTTATATTTTTCTGTCCTAGTAATAAATATGTATATAGATGTTCCGCTATTCGAGATCTTGGAGATTTAGAAA